CCTTCCCTCAACCCTACCTGTGCCCTCTCGCAGTCCAGGACCCCTTGGGGGATGCCCAACTGACGGCTTAGGCCTGCTCCCCGGGGGAATCAGGCCTAAGCTGGCAGTTAGACATCCCTCTGGCAGCCCAGGAGCCGTTAGTCGGACATGCTTAGCACTGTCGCAGAGGCAGGAGAGGCTCCCTCTACCGCCCCTGTGCCGGCCAGCCATGAGCCGGCTTCTGGCTGAGCGGCACTCCCTCTGTGGAAGCACACTGACTACCAGGGGGCAGCTTCTGAGTTGATCGTTTGCCCCCTGGTGGTCAGTGCATGTCATAGCGACTGGTCATTCTGCCGTTAGGGTCAATTTGCATATTACCCTTTTATTATATAGGATACTCAAAATATGGTGGGAAATGGACTATAGATGTAAAGGATAAAGAAAAAAAGGCTTTGAAGAGGCTTTAGAAAAATAAGCAATAATAATAATGAACTCAGTACAAGAGTAGGGAAAATATTAAGAGTGCTAAGAAAAAAGGAGTGGAGAAAAAAAGGAAAGTGCTAGAGATTTCCTCACATGACACTTCCCCTTAATAAAATATGTAAAAGCTAGGTTACCAGAGGGCCTGTCTACATCTATCAGAACAAAGGGGGTAAAAAAACAACACTTTACTATGTGGCTGAGGACTATAAGGTTCAGGTGTGGTTCAATACTCAAAATGACAACTAATACAATTAAAACATACCAATTTTACACATACAAAATTAACTACAGTAAATTATCAATCCAAGGTTTATTTGCCTATGCCACCCAGATGCTTCTGGACTTCTTATCCAGTGTGTCTCTTCAAAAAACTATTTTAAATTTATTTTATGAATGGCATGATTAGGAGCCAGTTTTAATAAAAAGATCAAAACATTATTTGGATTATAATGAACTTCCCCATATTTGGTGTAAGAGTAGTTATTTGAGATTACTAGCTACTCATTTGTCAATTTCCTTAGGAAAGAATTATAACAGGAAAGAATTCCTCACCTGCAGCAACTGGCCAGGATGGAGAGAACCCAGAAAAGGAGAGGTATGGCAGTAAACAGTTTCTCCATATTTACAATCTGGGGCCCCGGGATCTTTTCCAGGTTTCTATAAGGAACACAGCAGACCCAGTCACTACCACAGATTATCAATAAACCTGCAAAAATAATTCATGAGCATGGCATTTTACTAATATTACGAACTACAAAAAGATACCATTCTTTTCTCTCAAGAAGTTTATAGTATAAAAAAGACAAAATATATGTTCACAGATTTTTTTTAAAATATATATTTTATTGATTACAAAGAGAGAGAAAGGGAGAGGGATAGAGAGTTAGAAACATCGATGAGAGAGAAACATCGATCAGCTGCCTCCTGCACATCCCCTACTGGGGATATGCCAGCAACCAAGGTACATGCCCTTGACTGGAATCAAACCTGGGACCCTTCAGTCCGCAGGCCGATGCTCTATCCACTGAGCCAAAACGGCCAGGGCAATGTTCACAGATTATTAATAAAGATATTCTGAGCAGAGACTCACCCGCTTATAATAGTTTTTTATCTTGGTTGCCATGCCAACCTGCATCATTAATGGTCCATTTTCCTCACTGTATTCTGCTAGAATAAGATCTCCATCTTTGCCTGTGAGGTCCTGAGATGTGCGCATAAAAAACATCTCTCCACCACCTGAAGCTTGCCTCTCTTGTTCTCTCATCTGCCCAGAACAAAGAAATACAGTCCAGCTCCTCATAGAATAATACACATTGACATAGTTCATTCCAAGACAATGACACCAAAAACAATTTACCTTGCCTTTTCTTCAATTGAAAAAAAAATTCAAACACATGAACATTTATTATCCCACATCCTAGATACAAATGTTTATATTTTTGCCATGTTTTACCTGTAACTATCTCTCTACAGATTTTGCTGAACCACTTTTGAAAGCTGCAGTCATCATTGACACTTCACGCTTAAGTATTTTCATATGCATCTCCTAAGAATAAGGATATTCTCCTAAATACCAAAAACATTCTATCACATCTGAGAAAATAAACAATAATCCCCTAATATCATCTAATATCCAGTCCATTTCCCCAATTAATACTTTAATGTTAACTTTTATAACTATTTTTTCTAAATAGGATTCAATCATACCTTAGCCTTCTCTCTTAAGTGCTTTAGCAAGGGTTGGACTGAGTGGGGACCTGGCTGAGACAATGCCCCAAAGGAGTACTTCTTCAGAGCTGGGCGATGGAATTGCCGGAGTTTGAGGGACCCCATATGGGTGGGAAAGAAGGGCTGCCGTAATTCCACAGCAGGAATTGAGTGCTAAGACAGAAAATACAAGGATTCAAATTAAATACTAACTCCAACCTAGGCAAGATTGACTCATATGCCCCATCAGAACCAAGCAGTGATTCCCATCCTCCACAGAAAAAATGCTTTTACCTGGATACTATTTCCTCCGAAAGTGCCTCGAAGACCCTGTTGCTTAGGATAGTAATATTCATCATTGGAGAGATTCCACGGATCTTTCACTTCTGGCTGAGACATGTTCTAATGACAGGTCATCAAATAAACCTTAGTCAGACTCCCTTTCTCCATTACCTTTCTTTGTTCTTCGAAACACTAACACCCTTTTCCCTTCACAGACCTGCTGTGGTTCCTCCTTGATGACTCCTGTTTTCCCTAAGAGAATTCGACTCTTCTTTAGAGATGATTCCTTTTTACTCTCCTTGGAGGGGGAGTTAGATGTGGCCTCTTCCTTCTCATCAGGAATTTCTGAGGATGAAACAAAATCACTCTGGAGTTGCTATCTCTGATGATTCACCTTTCCTACTGATGACCTTGCATTCCGAACCAGATCTCTTACCCCACCCCAGACCATTTCTACTGCATGATTCACTCTAACCCAGCGGTTCTCAACCTGTCGGTCGAGACTCCTTTGGGGGTCGAACGACCCTTTCACAGGGGTCGCCTAAGACCATCGGAAAACACATATATAATTACATATTGTTTCTGTGATTAATCACTATGCTTTAATTATGTTCAATTTGTAACAATAAAATTGGGGGTCACCACAACATGAGGAACTGTATTAAAGGGTCGCCGCATTAGGAAGGTTGAGAACCACTGCTCTAACCAAACTATACTCCTGACATATCAAAAGTACTACTTTCCAACATTTCTACCTTATGTGTTTTCCCTAAACAATACACAAATATCAGAAACTGACCACAACTTTGATCTCTCAAGCTGCGACCTAGAAGCTTCTAAATTTGACCTTCCCAAAACTTTTGGTTTATTCCTGCTCTTTGACATTAGCTGCAAGCTGTCAATTATGAAAGAGGAACACTGGTCCCTGCCAGTATCATACCCAAAATGAGATTCTCATCATTGGGATCAAGTGTCAAAACTGGAGGCTCCAACAGCCGGGGCATGGCCTGAGCATCCCAAATAATGTTGTCCTCCCAACGTCCATACGCCAGCTCCTCATTGTCAATGGGAAAAATGGAGTACCAAGGCTTATCATCATCCAGGGTGGCTGCAAAACCTAGTCAAAACAGAACACTCAATAGCAGACAAAACATTTATGTTCCTCTCAATCATGATTCTAGCAAAAGGAAAAGGAGCATGTTAGTAAAGTTAATCATGTGACTGAAAAGTTACTCATAGTACTAAGAAGAAACATAATCGAGTGTATTTCTCATTTTAATAAAATGTTGCAGACAAAAAGTGTTCAGTGCAGTATTTTTGTAATAGTCAAAATATGAATGACCAAATAAAGGACTGGTTAAATTACGGTAATAAATAATATGGTAAAATATGCTAATGGTGATAATAAATTAGAAATATAATAATCTTTGGTATGTTATCAAAACATCCATATAAGAATACTATACAACCAATAAAGCATTTAGATAGAATGGAAAGAAGGAAAAAACTAGTTCTTAGATTTAAAAATAAGACATTTTTTTATTTTCCTCTAAATTATAAAAGTTATCCAGGTTAACTAAGAAAAATTTGGAAACTAGAAAGTTATAAGGAAGAAAACTGAAGTTTGTGATATTACAAACCACAAATCACCACTATGAACCCCATAGTATATATTCTTTTAGTCAGCTTTCCACATTTATATAGGTTTTTTTGTTTTCATTTACAAACAGAATATTAAATGTGACTTCATATTTTTTCCATTTAAAATGAGCTTCCCTGCCCTAAACGGTTTGGCTCAGCGGATAGAGCATCAGCCTGCGGACTCAAGGGTCCCAGGTTCGATTCCGGTCAAGGGCATGTACCTTGGTTGCGGGCACATCCCCAGTAGGGGGCGTGCAAGAGGCAGCTGATCGATGTTTCTAACTATCTCTCTCCCCTCCTCTCTGTAAAAAATCAATATATTTAAAAACTAAATAAATAAAGTAAAATGAGCTTCCCATGTCATTAAACATTTCTGTGAAGAACTTTGAATGACATAGAATATTTATGTTAAGAGAAAAGCACAACATAAAAAACTGTACCTACAGAGATTAGCTTACCTACATACACACAAAGACAGAAAATCGAAAACAAAATACACCAAAAAGTTAAAAGGTGATCATCTCTGGATAGGATTACCAGTGATTTTTTTAAAATATATTTTATTCATTTTTTACAGAAAGGGAGGGAGAGGGAGAGAGAAACATCGACCAGCTGCGTCCTGCACACTCCCCACTGGGGATGCGCCCGCAACCAAGGCACATGCCCTTGGACCGGAATCGAACCTGGGACCCCTCAGTCCACAGGCCAATGCTCCATCCACTGAGCCAAACCGGTCAGAGCTACCAGTGATTTTTTAAAAATATATTTTTATTGATTTCAGAGAGGAAGGGAGAGGGAAAGAGAGATAGAAACATCAATGATGAGAATCATTGACCAGCTGCCTCCTGCACACCCCGTACTGGGGATGGAGCCTGCAACCTGGGCATGTGCCCTCGACCGGAATCGAACCTGGGACCCTTCAGTTCACAGGCCGACACTCTGTCCACTGAGCCAAACCAGCTAGGCGGATTACCAGTGATTTTTGATACTGTATTGCATTTTCAAAGTTTTCTACATGGCATATGATTTTTGTGCATACTTAAGGAGAGAAAAAGCAAATTCTAGAATGATAAAGACAAAGGGGCTTTGGAAACAAAAATAGACTATAAAGATAAAGAATCATTATAGCTCAGAAAGATCTTTAACTTCAAAGTGGTTTGCATATTTTTCTAATGATGATTCCCATCCTAGCTTATTAATTAGTATAAAAAAACTATTACAGACCAGAATCAGAGTTCAGATCCAAAACATTTCACTATACCTCAGCAGCAGCAAAGCTCACAGCTAAGCCCACTTAGGATTACTGAGATGCAGGGTAGTGTGCTGGACACAGCTGGCAAGGAAGCATACCTTGCTGAACATTGTAAGCCATGGCATTTCTAGTCATGCTGGAAGGAATCCAGCCTGCCAGGCTTGCACGCTGAGGTCTTGTCCCTTTGTGTTTGACATCCTCCCCATCCCAGATGATATCATCCTCCCAATGCAGTTGTGTCGCCATCAGGAAGTTTTCATCAGCCAGAAGATCAGTGCCACTGCTTTCCTCAAATTTCCTAAAGTCCTGTAGAAGCAGGGAAGGAACAACAAATTCCTGAATGGTCATGTGTCAAAGTTCCCACTCCAAATCCCACATCACATTCATCAAATATGGACCTTGACTTGAAAGAAAAACCTGATAATGAAGGAGTATCTGCCTCCTACTCTTAGTCTAGTATAGCACTCATTTCACAAACAGAATTCTTACAATGGGTCCTAGTTGCCAGGGTGATACACCATACCAAGCAAAAGGCTTAGACACATAAATTTCCCACCAAAGAAACCCTACCCAGTATCTTCCCAATTGAAAAGTAAAACTGATAGGACCTTCAGCACACTGATTCTTTTCTTATATACCAGTATTGCTTACCTCTATCATTCTACCTTTTATCACAGGTTCATGTTCCATCTTTCTCAGTTTGAAGCCATAGTCAAACCCACTGCCATCTTCAGGAACACCCAGCATATCATACCACAGTCGGGCAGGCCCATAACGCCACTCAGCTACTCTGGCTTTGGTATCTGTCACTTTATCTATATCTCCAGTAGACTGGGAAAACTTGGACTCCACAGGAGCCATCATTGTGATCTGCAACAGATGAAGTAGAAGGGGAAGAGGCTTTCCTAACCACAGATGTCCTAAGAGGAGTCATAAGGATACTTCTTGAACAGAACTGGAGTTAGAATTAGAATACAAACAATGAAGGTATATCATGGCACACTGCCTATCATTTAAACTTTCTTATTCACCAATGTGTATATTACCATTTGCCTGCCCCCAATACTTTTCCATTACAATAGAGAAGGAACAGCCACTGGGATTGAACCCATCATTACTTTCTGATAATCAGCACAGGACTCAGCCTGCTAAGATGTTATATCCAATTTAGACATGAGCTAGGGAGAACTCTTTTGTCCCCTTATAAGTCTTAATCCCAGGTCTCTATTTTGCCTACTTCGTCATCAGAGAGACACTGCTCTGGAGGTGGTGGTGGAGCATAGTCGTAGATCCATAAAGACTTCTGGTTGACTTCTGATTCTACTGAGCACTCCACCTCCTGAATCTGCTCTTCCTGTATCAGCTCACGGTGCTTCTTTTTCCTCTTTCTCCGAGCACTCCGCCAAACAGATGGGACATTCTTTCCTGGTCCAAAAAGACGTAGGAAGCGTAACACCTAGAACACAGAACATTTTACTATGTCAGAGATTCATGTCAGATAGAAAACAGCAGCATCTGGGTCTGAAAATTCCCTTGAGGGGTCTATTCAACCGTCAGAGAGGGATTAAGGAGTGCTGAATTCAGATTTATAACTCTATCCAAAAAAGTAAAGAAGTGTCCCTTAATAATTTGAACTAGTTCTTTTAAGACAACAAAGACAATTTATAGTGAGAACTATATAAATCACATGTACTACAATGTACACAACTTTTTTAAAAGACCTGATACAATGTCATTGAATAGGGAAACCTTTAGATCTTATCCATTCTATATTCAGCATTTTAACAACAGAATTCAGTATTGAGAAGAGGTCAGTGGTTTTCAATGTAGATATTCTCCATAAAAAGTACCTTCCCAGGCCGAAATTCTGGGAAAAGTTCTGTGGCACTCGGCAACAGCTTGGTAGCATCATGCTGCATAATCCCAGCCAACGGTAGGGTCAGCTTTCCATCCTCAGATTCTGCCTGTGTTGCTTCCTGAGGTCCCATCTCAGATTCTGAGTCAGAGGAACTACTGAAGTCCACTTTTTCTGAGGCCAAAGAGGAAGGGGCAATGATGGAGGGCAAGATGATGCCTTCTCCATCTTCAGACACTGCAACAAGGAAGAAAAACCCCCTTGGCATGTAACTGTGAGCATATTTCCTCAAATTCAGCCAACACCAACTCCAGGTACTATGCATGGCTCAGTGGCAGGGGATATAGTTCCAAGCACCCAAATTACTAACAGTATGCAACCCAGAAAATTCATTCCAACTCAGTATCTCCCACCATCCCCAACTCACCTTGTACCTGGTACCCTAGGGTTGTGATGAGAGAAAACAAACACTATTACTACATTTACTACTTTCTGTAAGTATGTAAGGTTAAAGGAATATTACCAATACCAAACTTATATAACACTTTTATACCAGTCAAGCCTTACCATGTCCAGTTCAGGGACCCATAGCTAGAAAAAAAACTTTTAAGCCCACAAGATAATGAAATTATTTAGCATAAAATAAGATCTATGACATAAAGTTAACCAATGCTATTTAGCCTGCAGACTAAAAAGGAAATGACTTAAAGCTCTAATAGGAGAAATTTAGGTTAACATAAACCTCAAAATACAGGAAGATCAAACACACTGCTCTTCCCAATCTACTGTTGCAGTTATAAAAATAGGTGAGAGGATCTCTGAAGACCCTGCCTTTGAAATCTCTGAACCTGATAGCTAGCTCTCTATGATCCATATACATTTTAGGGTGCCTTACCTATTTAACTATTTCTTTTCAAGAGAATCATCTAAACAAGTAGTTTCCAAATACCAGTATGCAGATCAGTTGCTTCAGAAATTACTCTGGGAATGCCTTGAAATTCCTGGGGTCTACCCCAGATCTTCTAAATCACACTTTCCAGGGGAGAGTCAGAAATCTGTATTTTTAAAAAGACTTGCGGTGATTCTGATAGGCGGGCAGATTTGAGAACCACTGACCCAAACATTTTCTTAAATGCATGCTAAATACTGCTGTCAAACGTTTAAAAGTAAAACTTCCCTTTAATATGGAAATTTAAAATTTGTATGAATCAGTTCTGGAAGTTATAGCCTTTCCCAGCAGCTTAATTTTAACAGCCCCCTATGTGTGCCAAAGCCTGGACTTAGGAATGGAACTTGCTACTTAGACAAAAGTAGACTGTCTCTGCTTACCACCAGTAATAGCCTCCTGGTCCTTATCCTTCTTTAATGGTCCTGGGGGTGGAGGTGGAGGAGGCATCAACTTGCAATCAATGTCTTCACAATCAGCATCATAGTCATCATCATCATATTCTACTAAAAACAAGGTGATCTCAATATCCAGAATGTCAGAAAATAACCCTGAACTCCCTTGTCACTCAAGATTTTAAAGTACCACATAAAGCACTATGCAAATTCCTTAAAAACACACAGAAGATGCAGCTTCTGCCTTCAGAAAGAGATGATGTGATATCACCAAATGCTGTAACACTACATACTAGGTGTACCAGTTAATGCGGATTTTTTTCAATAGATGGAGTTACACATATGTTGATATATATGCAATAAATGTATGCTGCTATTCTGTTGTATTGACAGCAAGCTTCAAAACTTCATATGTCAAATTTGCTGAAGGTGTTAACATCATAGATACCTTTACGCTTAAAAATGTCGAATTTCATGCCAAAAAAAGAGCATTTGCGGGAAGTTTTAATTCATTACTTTATTTTGAAGAAAAAGTTATTGTATACTTCGGGAAGCTTATGGTGAACATGTTCCATCTCAAGATACTTGTGAATGCTGGTTTAAACGCTTTAAAAGTGATGATTTCGATGTGAAAGACAAAGAACGTCCAGGTCAACCGAAAAAATTTGAAGACCAACAATTACAAGCATTATTGGATGAAGATTCATGTCAAACTCAAAAACAACTTGCAGAAAGATTAAACGTTGCTCAGCGAACAATTTCCAATCCATTTACAAGCAATAGGAAAGATTTTAAAGGAAGGAAAATGGGTGCCCCAACAACTGAACGAAAGACAAATAGAAAACTGTAAAGTCATCAGTAAAATGTTGCTTCAATGGCACACAAGAAAGTCTTTTTTGCATAGAATTGTGACTGGCAATGAAAAGTGGATTTATTTTGAGAATCCCAAATGCACAAAATCATGGGTTGATCCAGGTCAACCATCAACATCGATTGCAAGGCCAAATCACTTTGGAAAGAAGACAATGCTCTGCGTTT